GCAGAGTCCCAGGCCATCCACCCCTTGGGCGAGGTGCTTTTCTTCTCTGCACCTCATTTTTCTTTTCTTTTTCAAGGGTCACATTTCTCTTTTTGGGGGGTGGCTTGGAGAATGAAATGTAGTGACACATAAGAGCCCTGTCCAATGCCCAGGCCCTCACTAGAGTTCCCCTCTCTCCAGATCCTTCTCTCTAACTCACCCCTTGGAGGGAATTTGGGTCTCAGGGTCTCAGCTCTATATGCTCTCTATAAGAAATTGTGGAATGACTGGAAAAAACAACAAACAGCCTCTTGTCACCAAGTGGGGCCTGCGGAGAGACACTGGGGGTGGTCAGCTGGCAATATATGGGGGAGGGGGAGGGGCCTTGGCATTCAGGAAGTTTCTCACAGAAGTTGCTGACTTACCAAGAAGCAGATTCTCATGCTGGTCCCCTGCATTCTGTCCTTGCCTGGGAGACCTGGATTTGGAGAAGAACTCATCTTCAGGCAAACCATCTCCCGGCATCTCTGCCTAGCCCACCCGAGGGGCTGAGTGAGCAGATTTACTTGCATGGAAAATGAAAAAGTCCATGTTGACCTCTGTCTGTTTTCCTCAGTGTCATTCAGGGATTTGTAAAAGACCTGGAATTAAATTCACTGCATCCAGGCTAGGGGAGTGGTAGCGTTGGTGGGGGTTCCCTACTGTCCTCTCAGTCTGGCAGCCCTGAAGTCACCCCATGAATCACCACTGGGCATGCCCAGGGACCCTCACCCTGCTGCCCTGAGCCTGCCTGGCATTTATTCTGTGCTCTCTGCCTCAACCCCACCCCCACTCATCTTGTCCCCCTCACACAAGCTGGCACAATGATAACTTGTTGAATGATGATTTCTTTTTTTTCTTTTTTTCTGATACAAGACATTTTTATACAGGTGTTAGGATGCTGGAGAGAAATCCTGGGATGTAGGAGCAGTCACTGTTAGTCCTGCTACAAGGGTCCCAGGAATCTCACAAGAGCCTAAAGCTGTGTTAGCTAATACTTGTGGTTATTTAAATTTAAATTAATTGAGGGCTGGCCAGTTAGCCCAGTTGGTTAAAGCACAGCCTTATAACACCAAAGTCACGGGTTTGGATCCCCAAACTGGCCAGCCACAAAAAAAAAAAAAAAAAAAAAAATTTACACATATTTTTAAAAAACTAAATTAATTGAAATTAAATAAAATTTAAAATCCAGTTTCTCCACCACATTAGCCACATTTCCAGAGCTCATGTGGCTAGCGGCAGCCATACCGGACAGTGCGGGTATAAGGCACCTTTCATCATCATAGAAAGTTCTGTTGGACAGCACTGGGCTAGAGGAAAGCCTGATTTTTTTTTTTTTAGTTATAAATTTTATTGGTGTTTTGTGATAACAAAATAACAACAGTTTGTCATCGACCATTCTAAAAACACAGAATAACACGAAAGAGAGCAGAGAGGGATCCGGGTTTGATTTTCGGCTCAGTGACTTACGGAATCGCCCTCAGTGCAAATGATTCTCACGAGCAGGCACAGGCTCTGTCACCAAGGAGGGGCAGAAAAAGCAAGGAAGAGAAAAGGGACACCCTGAACCCCCTCCCCCAGCACTGAGGGAATGTGTGAAGAGCCCGAGGTCCTGTGGGTGAAGGGAGGTTTGGGTCAAGATCCAGATAGAAAAACAGGGCTCAACAGAAGGGTGCGAATGCCAGGAACTCCTTACAAAGGCAATAGACGGGCTGCAAAGACAAACCCAGGTGACCGTGGGGGCAACACAGAGATTAGCAACAGCAGGAAGTCCCCACCACCCCTGGGCTGGAGGGACACAGGGAGGAAGCTGTGTCATCCGAGCCCCCAAAGCTGGGGTCATCCTGTGGGAACCACTGCAGGGGCTGTCCACAGGGAGCTGGGGTCACAGAGGAGATTCATCTGCCACCAGAGATGCCGCCTGAGAGAGGGGGACACCGTGGGCTTCTCCTTTCCTTCCTCCCTCCAGGCTCCCCCACCAGCAGAACACAGAGGAAAGCCAGGGGGCCGGCAGCCTGGGAGCAGTGGGGTGGACACGGGAGCAGACGTCACTGAGGCTCTGTGCTGCGGACTGAACCGCAGGGAACTCCTGTCCCCCAGGGTTCCTGTGTGGAAGCCCTCACCCAGTGTGACTGTGTCTACAGACAGGACTTTTAGGGTAATTAAAGTTCAATGAGGTTATAAGGGTGGGGTCCTAATCCGATAGGACTGGTGGCCTTGTTGGTGGAGCTTTCTTTTGCTCTCTATCTCCATGCACACACACCGCAGGAAGGCCATGTGAGGACACAGTGACAAGACAGCCATTTGCAAGCCAGAAAGGAGGCCCTCATCAGAACCCAACCCTGCTGACACCCTGATCTTGGACTTCCAGCCTCCAGAACTGTGGGAAAATATATTTCTTAGGCTTAAGCCACCCAGCCTATGGAATTTGTTATGGCAGCCTGAGCTAAGACATTCTGCAATTCCAGAAATATATCACCACAAACTCAATGTGCTAGGCAGAGTCATGGTCCCCACAGACATCCACCCCTAATTCCCAGGGTATTAGTCCATTTTCCATCACTCATAACAGAATGTCTGAAACTGGGTAATTTATAAATAAATGAGATTCATTTCTTCAGTTTTGGAGGCTGGGGAGTCCAAGGTCCAGGGGGCACATGGGGTGAGAGCCTTCTTCTTGGTGGGGACTCTACAGAGTTCTGTGGCAATGCAAGTGGTGACATGGTGACACAGGTGATGACATGGCGAGAACGGTGAGGGTGGGACCTAGACAAGAGCGCTTTAATGTGCTCACTTGCTCTCCTTATGGGCCCCCAGCCCACTCCTTGAAAACCCATCAAACCATCAACCCATTATTATATGAATGGATTCACGAGGGCACAGTCCTCACAATCCAATCACCTCTTTAAGTCCCCACCTTTCAAATACCATAATTGGAGTCCTCATCCTTACACTGCTGCAATGGGGATCAAGTTTCCAGCACATGAACTTTGGGGACATATTTGAACCACAGTGCCCAGAAACCGCATATATGTGACCTAACAAGGCCAAAGGACTTTGCAAATGTAATTAAGGTAAAGATCCTGAGATGGGGAGATTATCCTGGATTAAGTGGGTGAGCCCCAGGTAATCACAAGCGGCCTTATAAGAGAAAAAGTTGGGCAGGAGGGCTAGTGTCAGAGAGAGAGATGTTGGAGTGATGAGTTTGCTGGATTCAAAGATGAAGGAGGGGCCATGAGCTGAGGAATGTGGCTCTAGAAGCTGGAAAAGGCAGGAAACAGATTTTTTCCTAGAGCCTCTGGAAGGATTGCAGCTCTGCCTCGGCCTTGATTTTAGCCTGGTGAGACCCAATTTCAGCCTCCCGACCTCCAGAACTGTCAGAGAATGCATTTGTGTTGCTTTAAGCGAGGTTTGTGGGAAGGTGTTACAGCGGCTAGAAGAAACACGCATACTGGCAGAGCCTGGTGACGCTGCACTGCACTCAGCATGGTCTTCTCAGGCGAGGTCCTCTATTTCTGCCCTACAAGAGCCACAGACTAGCAGAAAAGGTGCGTCTTTCCCGTTCTAGATCCCTCGTACCCTGTACCCTGTGGTGTTTTATGCTTGCTTGCTCAGTGAATAAACAGCTCAGCATGTGATCCTCCAGCAAACGTGGGAGGTTGGCAGTAAGTACAGCAGAGGGGCTGAGATACAGATCTAAAGGCAAGCAGTCCTGGCTCCCCCACCTACTAGCTATGTGACCTTGGGAAAGCCATTCACCCTCTTTGGGCTTAGCTTCTCTATTGGTAAGGTGGAGGATGGCAACCATTTCTACCCCACACAGCTGGTTGGAGGTTAGGCCTTCTCTTGTCAATCATCATTCCTTGACTGGTGTTCCAGAAACTAAACTCCTGGACTTTGCAGAGCCCACGCTCTGACAAGTTAAATGACAGCCCCCAGCCTCATACCCTGATGTAGCCTGAGCCTCCCAGGAAATGGTCCTCCTAGTTTCCCCAGCTCTCCATGCTCTGGGGTCACCAGGCCTGGGAGCTCTTGGGAGACCACTGGAAATGCCCCAGGAATGAGGATGAGACTGGCTTCTCCCATGCTCCTGATAGGCCTGGCTCCCGGAGAAAGCCAGGCAGGAAGCCAAAAGCTTGGGTCAGTTTTGGAAGCCTGGGAATTGTGGTGGGTCAGGGCTGCTCACTAGGTCCTCAGATGTGTTTTCTTTGGCCAGCTCAGTTTTCTAAATCAGAAAAAAAAATCACATTAGCCCCCAACCTCTATCTTCTTTTGAGAACAGGATGGGGGTGGGGTGGGACCTGGCAACCCTGGGCATGCATCCCCACAAGGCAGCAGAGTGGTGGCTGCCCCTGGGGAGGGGGTGTGTCCTCCTCAGTTCACTGTAGTCCCCAGTGCTCCCAGGGTCACTTGTCCCCTTCATGTGACCTTGCTGGAATTTGAGTTCCTGGCACTTGTTTTGAGGCAGCGGTTCTCAACCACAGCAATTTTGCCCCAGGAGGTATTTGGCAATGTCTGGAGACATTTTGATTGTCTCAAATGGTGGTAGTGGTGGAGGGGGGCTAAGTACCTAGAAGGTGGTGGCTAGGGATCTCACAACGCAAGCGCAGCCCCCACAACAGAGTTAGCCAGCTTTTAAGAACCCCACTGTAAGCAAACACAGGTCCTAGTTTGAGTTCCCCTGAAAACAAGTCTTGCACGAGGCGAGACTTGGATGCTGACGGTTTTATGAAGGTGATCCAGGAGGCAGAGAGGAATGAATGAGGAAGTGAGGTGGAGAACAGAGAAAAGCCTGAGCTGGTCGGCTGGGGGGCTGTGAGACTCTGTCTTTCTGGGGACCTCTGGAGAACTGCATAGGATGGTCTCCAAGGGGACCCACAGAGGAACAGAGAGGATGGCACATTTACCGCCACCTCCCGTCTGCAGATCAAGGACTGGTCTGTTCCCACCTGGCCCGCTACCTCCTACCATGTGGCCCACAGATCTCCAGCTCCTGGATGGCAAGGAGGTTCACATCAAGGAGCTGGCTAACCCGAGTCACACTCGGCCCCAGCGCCTCTTTCCAGGCACTCAGCAGCTCACCCTGTGCCTGCCCTGACCAAATTCTCCCCGCACAACCAACTGTTCCTCAATCTTCCAACCAAGAAAATGTGATTCAGAAGAAAAAACAAGCCAGCGTCAGCCTCCAGCTCTTGGTTGCAATGGGGGGAGAGGGGCCAGGGTAAAGGCCCGTGGGCCCTGGAACTTGTTGGAGTCCCTTAGCCACAGAGTGTGGCCTCTGTGGACATGAGCTGGTGGGAGCATGGGCTGGGACGCCCTTCGGTGGCTCTGGCCCAGCAGCAGCACAGCTCTCTGCAGGGAAATTCCAAAGATTCTCACAGAGCCGGGCAGTGGCCCACATGTGCTCCCCCCAGCCTGAGCGGGACCCCACCCAGACTGTGGGGCCACGGCCCATCCCCCCAACACAACGCTGTCAGAGCTTCCCTGTGACTCAGCTATAGGGTTTCCTTGGGGACACCAGGCCCAAAGGAAAGGAAGCTGGTGGCCAGGTTTAACCAGATTTGCCCAGCATTTCAGTTTTTCCCACCAGAGTGTCTGGAAAAACCGGATCCTCTGAGGTGAGAGGGGTGTGTGGGCAGGAGGGGAGCACCTAGAGCCCAGAAAGAAGGTCCCCTGGGTGGAGACGCTGACCTCCCTGGGGCCGTGACAGGTCTCAGCAACATGTTTACCTCAGATCCAAAATCAGGTGTGCACAGTGAGGTCTACGAACTCACAGCTGCCAGCTGGGGCTGGAAGCCTACCCTCTGCCCCTGCCCTCTAGAAAGAAACCATGAATCCCTGTCCAGTGGCTTATACTGAGGCTCCCAAAGATGCGTGGGTGATGCATTCAACAATCCCTCACTTTTCGTGTGTCTTTGGGACTTCCACGGACCTGCAGACTCCTGGATAGATGCCATCTGACCCTCAGGCTGCTTCAGCCTGATGACATCCTATAAAGACCTCAGGGCTGCCCAGTCCAGCAAGTCTTTGTCCTCAGACACCAAGAAAGTCACCTGCCATCACTGCCGGGCTCCACGGGGTCTCCACAACATGACCTTCCTCCCCCAGAAGATTCCAGGTGAGGGATGACCTCACTCACAGGGTGATTTGTCCCTGGTTTAGAATAGTGGCAGCTGGGTCATGGGGTTGTGCAGTCACATGGGCTGGACTTGGGGCTCCTATAGTCCTGTCCCCAGCTCTGCCACTTCCTGGCTGGTGACCCTGGGAAGTGACTTCACTTGTAAAGAGGGGCAGTAGTAGAACCTTCCTTCCAAGTTTGCGTGGGGAGCGTGGTGCACAAGCCTGCATGGCAGAATGGGGGCTGAAGCTTCCCCGCTGGTGGTGATGGGGATGAGGTCACGCCTCAAGGAAGGGGATCACAGAAGACTGGGGCCAGCTCTCAGGGGTCCCAGCCAACCTTGTGTAACACTCAAAAGCCTCCTCTAAAAACCCTTTTCTTGAGTCCTTCAGCTTCTGAGCCATGGGGAAGTCCTTGTCGTCTGTGTGCCCGTGGGTTTCTTCCTCTTGCTGTGTCATTCCCTTCCTCCCTCATCTCCTTTCTCCCACTGTCCCCTCCTGTTCTCTTTCCTTCCATTCTTTCTCCCTTGCTTGCTTCTTCTTTCTCTCATGACTTGTTTCAGACCCAACTCCAGGTGCCTCAGGCTTCTATAAGGATGATCATTCTGTCCCCATGTATGTTGCACTCACCATCAGACCCTGGGCCATACAGAGCAGGGCTGTCCCCTCCTTGACACTCCAGCTCTCTGGAGCTCAGAAGAAGACAGCCCCACTACTTGCACACGCTGCCCCCGTCTCTGGCTGGGGCGTGCTGTGACCGGAACCCCAGCCTCTCCCCGTCAGCTCCTGTGCAGCCGTCTCTTTCCCCCGTCTCCCCTTGACCTTGACCACATGAATCGGGGTCTGCAAAGAGTTCTGATTCATTATCTATTCATCTCAAAAGGTGCTACAAGTGGTCTGGCTTCTTGTGGTTGGGGACCGTTTTATTAATGATCCAATCTGCATATTTCCCCCAGCCCAAGCAGTGACCAGGGTCTAGCTCTCTGCCTCACTGGAGGTGATGAGATTAAATCAAGCAAGAACTCCCCTCATTTCAGGCCCATGAACACTGTCTGAGCCTAGTGCTTCCTCAGAAGGCACATGGCAACCCATAGCTGCAGACATACCCAAGCATGCACCTGTGCGCACACACTCACACCGTGTGCACACCCTCAATCACACATGTGAGGAGCCACACGCACATGTGCAGAAATGCATACACAGTCACACACACCTCCTCTCGTGCACACTCGTGCATGTGCACACACTCACGCGTGCCTGGATGTGTAGGCACATGTAACACTCATGTGCAGACACGCCTGGGCAGAACTTCTTACTTGCAACATCAGATTTAAAGACCCCTTGTTTCTCTGGTGAAAACCATGGACTGCAGAAGCCTCTGACAGGATGCTGCAGATTCTTTGACTGTGACCTGCTGGGGACCCAGCAGGGAGAGATTTCTCCTTCACCCAGAGCTCATGTGCTCAGAGTCTCTCAGAAGAGTAGCACTGACCTCTTAGCCCCTCATAATCCACCAGAGAACAAAGGGCAGTGGGGACAGTTGTTGGAACCTTTTGGGACCCTGATCCCTGGGGAAGATGGGTGACACATGGGTGGGCAGTGGGTCTCCAGAGAGGAAGTGGTCATGCTGGGCATGCCTCAGGGTCTAAGAGGGGACCAGTGTCCCATCTTGGGGATTTCAGGGACCCAGAGCCACTGCCCATCAGCTTTTGAAGGAGCATGTGTCGGGGAGAGAGACACAGAACCAAGACACAGAACCAGGGTGTGATTTACTTTTTATTTATTACACAGTTGAAGGGCAGAGAAGCCAGAGAGCAAGTACACAGTGTGGGATGTCACGCAGGCGACTGAAACACAGCCCAGCCGTGCTCTGGTCAGCTCGCTGGCCTTCCCCACCAGGCACCAGTGTGACAGCTCTTTCATTAAAATACCCATTTCCATGGGTTTATGACTTGGTCATAAAGTGTGGCTCCCAGCATGATGCGGGCATGTGCAGGGACCCCGCTGGGAAGCGTGTTTTATGCTTTTTCATCCATAATTATTTCTTTATGGCTTACTGGGTTTTAACATTCAGGAGGCAAAAGGAGCCCTGGTGGGTGCTGGGCAGTACTGTGGGCACGATGTCATCAGGAGGCCAGTGGAAGGAAGGTGTGCAGGGCTGGAGGGGTGCAGCCTGGTCCCTGCACCTTCCACGTGGCCGTGAGACTCGGCGTCTCTCCTGCATCAGGAGGGAAGGAACACCCCCCCCAGCCTTTGCGGTCCTTTCCCTACCCTCCTCCTGTCTCAGACTTGCTTTTGTCCCCTGACTTCAGGAAGATGTGTGTCCATGCAGCCTGCATCACCTGCTGAAGCCCCCATTTAAGGCCCCCCTGGGGGCCCAGAGGCTCAGCTGGGCATGGGCAAAGCTGAGGCTCAGCCAGGGCCTGTCCTCACAGAACTCGCACAAGGCCCAGGAGAGACCTGATGCCACGTAGTTATTCAGTTATGAAGTGGATCAATCCCATGGCATCCTATGATAGTGAATTTTATGTGTCTACTTGATGCGGACACTGGGTGCCCAGACATTTGACCAAACATTATTCAGGGTGTGTCTGTGAGGGTGCTTCTGGGTGAGATGAACATTCGGATCTGTGGTCTGCAGAAAGCAGACAGCCCTCCTTAGCGAGGGTGGGCCTCGTCCAGTCAATGGAGGACCAAACAGAACAGAAAGGCCAACTGGAGGGACCTTGCCTGCCTCCTGAATGTCTGAACTGGGACACGGATTCTTCTCCTGCCCTCAGACCAGAACTTACACCCTCAGTTCTCCTGGGTCTCCGGCTTTCCTACTGCAGATCCTGAGAGTTCTAGGCCTCCATAACTGTGTGGCCAATTCTGTATAATTAATAAACACACACGTGAGGGTACTTCAAAAAGTTCATGGAAAGACTCACATTACCTATCAGATCTGTTTTTCTTTTTTTGTTGTTCTTTTTTCTTTTTTTATTTATTTTTCAGATCTCTTGCCACAAACTTTTTGAAGCTCCCTCGTACACGTATCTCCTACTGGCTCTGTTTCTTTGGGGAACCTAACACGGGGCCCACAGAAAGCTGCCCTGAGCATGGGGTATTAAAACTAAGACATGTGAGTTAAGGAGGAGTTGGTGTTACTGGAGACAAGGGTCACCCAGAGACAGGGACCCACTGCAGGAGGCCACAGGGAGCCCAGATTCTTCTGAGGTGCCACCCAGGGCACCACTGGCCCCCAGAACTTGTCACCCTCCTTCCCCTTCCTGCCTCTGCCAGGTGTGGTGGTGGCTTCCTCTTGTTTCCCATCACTGGGCCACCTGGCCATCCCTGTGTGGCTCTCAGATCCTCCACCTCTGTGTGACCAGTTCCCATGATAAATTCCCTCTGCTATGGTGTTGGTTTCCCTGGGAGACTCTGCCAGCAGGGTTGTCAGTGCACAGGGAGCGGGGCGTTGGCCTGAGCAGCAGCAGGAGCCTTGAGCCCAGCAGGGTGTGCAGGATGGGCCAAGGGAGGCACAGCAGGGCACGGAGGGAGGAGAGAGGAGTAAACAATTTACAGAGCCCTTCTCTGTGCGGCCAGCTTTCTGGGAGACAAGACAAACCTGTCCAAGTCTCCACCTGTGGAGACAGGAAACCTGACAGAAACAGATGACATGTAACGTCTAGTGGTGACAATGGCCATGAAAGAAACCAAAGCAGCGCAAGTAAAGTGGGTGATGAGAGTGGAGGGTGGGGTCCGGGCAAGGCCTGGGCCACACGGACTGTATTAGTCTGTTTCTGATGCTTATGACAGAATACTGGAAACTGGGTAATTTATAAAGAAATGAAATTTATTTCTTACAGTTTGGAAGCTGTGAAGTCCAAGGTCCAGGGAACACATCTGACGAGGGCCTTCTTCCTAGTGGTGACTCTACAACACAGGGTGTCACATGGTGAGAATGGTCTGAGCAAGAGAGAGCTGACCTTCTCGCTCACT